TCTTCACTGTTAAGTTAGTAATGGTTGCAATCATTTAGTTCATGTTTATCGTGTTCGACCAGCAGGAAGGACAATAAACCAACCGGCGAGGTCTTTTGTGGGAGAAATATAATCTTGAATCTTTTATTTTTTTACTAATTGATACTAAAACCCCATATTCAGGGTGTTCCTGATAGCAGTAATTGTGTTAAGTTGTACCAAGACTGCAGTGGATCTGCCTCGGAGACAGATGACAAAGGCGATCTCCGTGTGTGACAAAGCCTGACAAGTTCTAAATCATGTTCATTACGAGGCAAGGATACACTGAGAAAAAAATGTCTTAATGATCCTGCAGATATTAAAATGTTCCTGTTTTTTTTTTTTACATTAGCCTCATTTGTCATTACAATTGTAATATCCGACGGTGCTGAACTCTTCTGTGTTACATTTTTCAACAACACTTTCCCTGTGAGAAGCGTAAGTCTACAAATTATTTAGACTCTGTAGACTTTAGAATAATGGATCTTAAAGTCTACAAATTTGAAATCATGTTTAATTCCGAGGCAAGGATATACCGTATGGTACTTCTTAAGACATTTAAGTGTATTGCAATTTATGTTATACTGCATTTACCAAAGTTACAACGTCTACATTTTTTCACGATGAACTACATTGTCGTTACAAATTCAATATCCCACAATGCTTTTTGTTGTCGGTTGTGTTTTGTGTAGGCGCCCACCGCCTCCCTAGGAGGAGCCTGAGTGGCCTCTTTGCAGATAGTGTCTATGATGGCAACGACCTCGCAATGAGTGGCTGTTAAGTCAAGCCATTTGCTCTGCCCCCTGCCGTGCCCTAATCTCTCTCTCTCTTTCTCTCTCTCTCTCTCTCTCGTTCTCTCTCTCTCTCGCTCTCTCTCTCGCTCTCTGCTCCGCCTCTCTCTCTCCTGGAAGACTGATGGCTGTCATTCACAAATCAATTGAAGCTGACATTTTGCGCCGGCCTTCGCTGAAACATGGGAAACGGCAAGGCTATTTTGTCGGATATATTCATATTTGTTTAGGCGATCGGGTGTATTAGGGGCCCCCTTTTCTCCCCCGTGTGGCACAGTGTTGATGGTCTGTCAATCTCACCCCGAGAGTAATTTTTCTCATTTCCTCACGCTCTCTATCGGCCCGCCTTTCGTCTCACGTCGCAACTGTCTCGCTCTCTCTCTCTGCCGGTAATACTTTCAACCGATGTCTACAAGACAGGTTTCCATCTTGTGTAATAATAACAACCCCCCGACACCGGCTCTCTGGGAGTGTGTGGGTGAACGCGTCTCGCGCGAGCCACCACCGCCGCCGCCAGTCGCGCCTGTCTCATGTTTGTCTACTGCGGCACATTTTAGAGGAGGCGGTGATGGTCCTGCCATGCCTCCGCGACTCTGTGACAGTCTTCATCCACAGTACACAGACTTCTCTGTAGCGTTGATTAGAGCGCTCCAGATCAAATTACCCTCGGCTGCTGGGGCGTCCGTGAGTGCAGTTATGAGAGAGAGAGAGAGAGAGAGAGAGAGAGAGAGAGAGAGAGCATAAGTTATGACGTGAAAGTGAAAATAACACGATGCATTTTTTTTTTGTCCACAATGTCATTACCGAAGCGTCTCAGGGTTTATTATGGGATGGTGACACGAGGGCACGATGGAGGCGTTCATCTCTCGATGTGGAGGAGGATATTGCTCCTGTAGGGGGAAGTATGCTCTCCGAGGAAAATGTAAAAACCATCCATGTTCTCGCTGTTGATATCAATGTTGTTATTAGTTCATGTGATAGTTCTACATGACTGTAGCAACAATGTGAAATGTCATCAACGCTTTTCGTGCATGAGGAAAACACATTATTACGAAGTTTTTCCGAATATTGCTAATTACAGCAAAAAAGCTTTCAGCATTACTGACAGTAACGTTGGGTTGAAATGACCATTTCTTAACCAATTGTCATCCTGTCAAAACGCCACCAGGAAACCCTGATATTTCCTCGGCCATCATCTTAAGTCTAACCTTGTATGTAAATAAATAATACATCTCCCAAATTAGGAGTCAGTCGGGGCTGCCCACTATCTGGGATTATGAGTCCATTGTTGAGTGTGCTCAAGGTCAACACACACACACACACACACTATCTACTCATAGATAGTGTATGCATATGCGTGTGTCTGTGTGTGTGTGTGCGAGGGACTCTTTATTTGGAAAAGGCCCAGCCCAGCCAACAGAAGGTGATGGCAAGCTAATAGCCGCCAGCTCCAGGCAAAATTGCCTGTCAATGAAGGTAATTGGGCACATAAGCCATTGTGCAGAGTGTCACTCGGTCCACATTCAAGCGGGCCCGTAGCGACGCTAGAAAAATGTCTGCCAGCTATTTTACACTGCAGTTACACTTTCCAGCGTCACTGAAATCTTTGGGAAAAGGGCTCAGGTGTAGCCACGCGTGCTCGGACTGTAATTCACCTTGATGAGGGTTTAGTTATTGGCCGCTTTGCAGGTCTTAGCCCAAGTCCTCCATGTCATTCCGCTAGCCGTTAATGTCAAATGTTAATAGCCCGCCTCGCTGGCGTGCTGGCCCAGGTGTAATTGATTTGAGTGTGTGTAGCGCGTCGACAGTCTTTCAGCATGATTTGGTATTTAGGTGGATTATCCTGTCCCCGTCGCCACGCTACACACCGTTATACAAGTTAGCCAACTCCTTTCTTAATGCTTCTCCTGCAGGTGTCAGATTAACCGCATGCCTCCCATCTCTCTCTCTCTCTCTCTCCCTCACTCTCGGTCTCCGTCTCTCTCTCTCTCTCCCTCTCTCTCTCTCTCTCTCTCTCTCTCTCTCTCTCTCTCTCTCTCTCTCTCTCTCTCTCTCTCTCTCTCTCTCTCTCTCTCTCCCTCACTCTCTCTCTCTCTGTCTCTCTCCCTCGCTCTCTCTCTCTCTCCCTCGCTCTCTCGGTCTCTCTCCCTCGCTCTCCCTCGCTCTCTCTCTCTCTCTCTCTCTCTCTCTCTCGCTCTCTCTCTCCCCATCGCTCTCTCTCTCTCTCTCCCCATCGCTCTCTCTCTCGCTCTCTCTCTCCTGCTCTTTGCTGTCTTGTCTCTCCTCCGCAAATGTTCCTTGGCACATGGAAACGGTCGAGAATAAAGCTGAGAAATCACATATGTCACAGTGCAGCGAAAAGGGCAGTGTCAGCCCCCTGTCCCCCGGGTGGCCACCCCAACAACTCCAACTACCCACGGTAAAAAAAAATACAAAAAAATAAAAAAACATCTCCTAGCTAACAAGCTAAAAAAACGTCATCTCCACAATGCCCGATCTCCTAGGAGACCCAGACTCACTCCTCCACCTCCCCTCAGCCCTAGAGGAGGGCGGTGTGGAGGGCGCGGAGCCGGGAATCCATAAGAGAGAGCGGTGTGGCGCTCTGGCAGTGGTGCGTTCAATAGCAGCGATGAAAGAGGAAAGGCACATACAATCAGCTCACAGGGTGTACCGGGCGGCGGGGAGAGACCGGCGGGAGGGGAGAAGATGGGGGGAGGCGAAGTTGGGCTTCGGCAGGTGGTGCTGGTTTGTTAGAAGAGATGAGAGGGAGGGAGAGACAGAGAGAGAGAGAGAGAGCTTGAGTGCCACTGTGCGAGGACTTACAATGTGCAGTTATAGAGCAGGTGTTGACTCCATTTTGAACTGGAAAGAGAGAACGTGCAAAATCGTAACGTTTACAGGGGGATCTTAAAGAGATGTTCTGGCCTGAGGAGAAGCTGCTGCCTAAGAGTGAGAAAGGAGAGAGGGAGAGAGAGAGAGAGAGAGGAAAAAAATAAGAAATGCACGCCTTGAGCTATACTTCACCTTCACAATGGCCATAAACCGGGAAAGGTTCCAGTACAGACAGGATAGAGAGGAGCAGGGGAGCGACATAGCAAACAGGGAATAGATGTAAATCCATAAACCTAGTAAAACCTTGTAGGCGTCTACCTGTGGGGGTGTGTGTGTGTGTGTGTGCCTTTTTTGTGTGTGTTTTGTGTGTCCAGAGGCATGCGGTTTGAAGATTTCTGAAAGCACACAGATGATCTTAAAACAGCTGTCTCCTCCTCCCAGACCCACCACACCTCTGAACATCACACATCAAAAATACATTTCATCTACCGTCTCCTCTTTCGACTCCCTCTTTGTCCGTGTATTTTCTTTTTTTGTTTTTCCAATCCTCCCTGTTTAGCTGGGAAGCGTCTGGGTGGACCCAACCCCTGTGTCGACACCGCCAATTGAAGCGATGAATTATTGAGGGGGCAGCAACAGACTTTTGGCCGAAGACGACCCTTAAACTTGTGCCACCGACTCCGCTGCCGGCCCTGACAGGATCAATTATTTACCGAGCCCTCGAACCCCCACCTCACAAACCCCCCCCACGTACCACCACACACTCGCCGACAATCGCACTCACACAGAGTTCAGCGGCCTCCGTATCGGGGGGTGAGCCCTCACAAAGAAACCCGCCCGAACCGTCCGGCGAGTGACAGCCGCGGGCGATGTGATCGTAAAAAACAACACACCTCCCGGTAAAAACACCGCCGTCAGCCGGGAGGAGAGAGGGGCGCCCTGTTGTTTTGGTCTGAGGTGCGGCGTGTCTGCACCTGCTCAACAGACATGTATTGTTCAGGAGAGCGTCGCAGGGGTGAATTGGGTGAAATGCTGTTTCGTATTCAAACATTCATTCTGTGGCTCCGAATGTCGGATAAGAAATACTTTTTGAAAATGAAACCGCCGGTGGGGAACCGAGGGCTGTTTCTGCTGGTCCGCGCTCAGAAAAATGGTTTGCTTGTTCAGCGCACACAGACAGAACCTCATTGTCCTCAATACACATTACTTTGTTTGTTCATTTCGCGGACGCTTTTTTACGCAAAGCAACTTTGTGATCATGTTTTTGTGGAGATGTATTATTAGGGAGCAGGTAGGGGGGCTTAGGCGGCATCTTCCTCAAGGACGCCCGAAGGTTACACTGAAGCGGTTTCACTGGAAGGACACTGGGGGTTTCGAACCCAGAACCTTTCGGTCGGGAGCCAAACCCCCGAACCATTAGGCCTTTTCGACTTTAAGTTATTTCACAGATCCTTCTTTCCCCCCTGAAGCCTTGAAAAAAAGTTTTCCAGCGTTGCTTTCCGTGCCGCTGGAGCGTCGGCGGGAACGGGGAGACCTTCGGTTTTGGCCCTTAATGAAGTAGGCGGCGGGATTAAGCAGCGGCCCGCGGATACCCCTGCGGTTCCACGGGACGTGCGCCTCTCGGGGAGAAAAAAAGAGTGAGTTTTGACAGAAAACCGAGAGAGAGGCGCAAATGGAGATGAATTAGTAAGCCAGGAAGGAAGCCGGAGAACCAGAGAGAGAGAGAGACGGATTCGATAGATCGGACGATGCGACGGACGCGGGCCGCGGCGGGACTACGGCCCGGCGGAGGAAGGCGTTCCCTGCGTCGGCGTGTCCTCTGCCGCCGTCCATCTATTGGCGCGCGCGGATAGATACTGCCCGCCTGGCAAGGTCATTGGCCAGAACGATTTGTGCACTTGCGTGTGTGCGTCGAGCCGTGTGTATACAATGTGCGCTATTTCAGCATATGGATGAAGTGCTGTGGAGGCCTTACTTTGTATTCTGTTCCAGGAAAAGGGAGACATAATTTATGGGTTATTGACTGGCCTCTGAAAGCACAGGAAAGCGCGTGCACATGCAGATGGCTACGGATGTGCATATGCAGTCCATTTTTATGTATATTAGGGGTGGATAGTGCACTGGCTAAGGTGACTGCCAGCCCAAAGGTACTGTGTTCAATCCCGAATGTCCACAGCCTACTTGTAGCAAGATGTATTATGCTACAGCCGAATTCATAATTGATGGTCAGGCGGGTGGAAGAAAGAGCGCCCCCTGGTGTGTGGTGGTTCACATCTGGGCTCAGCCTATAGTTTCAGGGTCCACTGAAGACCAGTGAATTTAGTATGGCGGCGACAGACTGTGTTGAACGTGATTGGTTACTTTCCTGGTGATGTCGTGGTTAGGCTAGGTAAGCTTCATTGAATTAGCTCAGAAGGAGTTGGTCTCAAAGGTGTGTGTGTGTGTGTGTAGTACACTGTATGCTTTTTTGTATTTTTTTTCTTTCTCCAAGCCAATGATGACATGGTCCTGGACCATGTCCAATGTGTTCTCTCTCTCTCTCTCGCTGTTCTCTCTTTCCCTTCATATGTCTTGCCACTCTGCCACTTTACCCTATTTCATTTGATATCTCTTGAACGAGTTTACAACATTAGCGCATTTGTTTCTTCAGTATTACTACTTTTCAGTTGTTCATAATCCTTTCTTCAGTGTTAAAACATGACCTTGATGATACATGCAAGCGATACAGCATTTCGTACGAGTTAATGTTCAATAGCGAGCTAGTCAAGTGACGTTAAAAATGATTTTGAATGACTTGAATAGATTTGTAATCTTACGGATACTAAGCAGACTGTTCTGTACAACTTTGTCAATCTCCTATTAGGATTTTGAATGTATTTATAACCCACAAGTTAATAGATCTGACAAGACTTTATTGTGTACACAAATGATTAACGTGTTCGATCGATCAGCTCCGACAAAGTGTTTCTGCGGTAATCAGCCGTGTTCAGACTTTTCTTCATTAGGTTTTCCGTCAAATGTTCTCGGTCGAACTTACAAGACTTATTCTGTTTTGTAGTATTTGCCTCAATTACCTCCGAGAATTCAGACAGCCCAACGCACCGCACCCGTCCATTTAGACAGCACACACACACACACACACACAAGGCTTTAAATAATGCACCTCAGCCAGGCAGAATGGACATTATCAACTGGATCGATAGGTCATTATGAAGTAATTAAATATTCAGAGGACAATTAAAAAAAGTGGCTCAGACCACTTATGAGTTGGTGGAAAGGTTGAGGCGTACGACAGCTGCGTAGCTTTCTAGCTAGGTGCTTATGGGTGATATGTTATAATGAATGTATTATTTTATGACTGTGGACAGTTTTTGTGGACAGTGGTACTAAAGTACTTAAGGAATTAAGTAATTCCTTTTTTCATTGTTGCTTGCTGAGGTGGAAATTAGCCAGCCATATTTTTGTAATCATTTTTTTTTAATTCAATTATATTAAGGTTCTTGGTGAGATTATATTTTTTCTTATTTAGTTCAAATATCTTCTACAACGGTAACATGTAGCAGATGGAGAGGATAATTACGAACACAAAACTATTTAATCAACTCCTCAGAAATTATGAAATCATAAAATCATAAAAAATGATGAAATGACGAGTGTGTTTTTGTGTGTGTGTGCATTTGTTTGTGTGTGTGTGTGTTTTGCTTCACTGCCAAGCGAGACTCGCGGCGTCACTACCGTGTGATGTGTGTGTGTGTACACAGTCCTTTAGACTAACACATATTTATGTTTCCCTGTGCTTAAACATTGAACACAGCCAAATTAACATGCCCTAAAGCCTATATGTGGTGATGAGGGAAGCCATTTTCTCTCTCTCTCTCTCTCTGGCTGACTCACCTTTTAACTCCCGTTTTAAAACACCCAGTCGTTAAAAACCTTTTTGTGCTATTCTGCTTGTCCCATCACTTGTCCTTTGGGCCAATCGAAAGCGAGGCAGAGATGTGGGGGATGAAATGAGAGGGGGAAGAATGGAAAGAAGGAAGGAAAGAAAGAAAATAAAAAGAACCCTCATAAGCAGAAATAACTGCTTCGTCTTCATTTTAGTTTTTTTCTGTCTGGTGGCCTTGTTTTTCTCCTGGGGTTTTCTCTAGCCTCTTCCTTGTGTGTTGGGGTGCAAGTTAGGGGAACTGTTATTACACACACACACACACACACACACACTTTGATTGTGGTGGCTTATGGGGTCCCCATAAATACACAGACACACTCCACTTAGTCTCTTTTTGTGGACGAAGGTGAAGCAGAGGATGTGTGTGTGTGTGTGTGTGTGTGTGTGTGTGTGTGTGTGTGTGTGTGTGTGTGTGTGTGTGTCTGTGTGTGTTTGGCTCCACCCCGGTCCTCATAAGTCACCACACACAGACACACACCAACAATGCTGAGCAAACAGAGTAAGCTTTGTCATTACTTACTCTGAAACGTAAACTCTTGGTCTCTGTTATGGCTGAACAGAGGACATTCACACACACACACACACACACACACATGCACACATGCACACACACACACACACACTGGGACATTGCTGAGCAGGTTTGTGGGAGACCTAGAGAGTGAGATTGATCAGATCCAGCAGCTGACTGGACAAACTACTGATTACACACTGTAATGATCACATTTGTCAGGACCTGCACACAAACACACACACACACACACACACACCCGCGAGCGCATGCACATACAGAGACACACATAGACACTCACAGACCTACGAATACTCTTACAAACACACACACACACTAGTGATGCACAGTTAAGGTATTTTCTTACCCGAATCCGCAAATTGTTGTAACCGCTCCAGACTGCTACTCATACCGATTTGTAAACAGAGGAAAATTACACCTGCGCCCGCTTCAATTTACGATTTTTATGCTAAAACAAACACAGTTATTCACCATCGTCTAAACTAAGGCTTTTCTTTAAAATATTAAACAAAAGTCATGACATTTGTAACAATGTATGCCTATTAGGCTATTATATTATTAGTTGAGTTGGCAGAGCAAGTTGAGGCTGTAGGTTTGTGCGTTGCTGCATTGCATGTGCTGCTGAAAACTACAATTGCTTTGTTAATAATATTTCGTTTCATATGAAGGAGATTTGCGGACAACCATAATTTCAAGCTGTTTTTTAATCTGAGAACTTGCCTAACTTGTTGCCAACCTGTGCAGGCTATTATCTGTAATGTGTTTGGATTAATGAACCAAAAAACAAAATACATAGGCAATGTTTGACTTTATGTCATGACAGCCTTTCTTTATTTGGGCAAAACGTTATTGAACAGAAAACACAGACCAGCTGAATATTACAACGGCAAAATAAAGATTAATTTGCATGTGAACACAAATAAGGAATATAATAACCTCCGCTGTAATAAAACATGCATCTTATTCTTCCATGAATGAGAATACGATGTGCATGTAATGTAAATAAAATAGTCTATCTAACAAGGACAACACATAACAACAAGATAAATGGCATGAAAGGATATGCAATACCGAACTTGAACGAAATTATTAGGGTGGCGTACAAGAAATAGCTGATGGCAAGAAATTAAGAAGCTGATTTTAACTAACCCATCCACAAATCACCCGCATATTATTAATACCGGAAAAAGGCTGATCCACAACCGCCTACACCCGCGGTTATAGTCGGGTCACGCAGGCCAATTATTCAAACCCGCACAATATCTCTGACACACACACATACATACACATACACATACACACACACACACACACACACACACACACACACATTTGATGACATCAAAGGCACCCAAGAACATGACAATCCTGGCAATGCAGTAATTTGTGTTTTTTTGCTCAAGGGCAATTTGACTATGGTTATGTATGGGTGTGTGTGTGCCTTGGTGCCTGTGTGTGTGTGTGTGTGTGTCTGTTTTGCTCCGCCCAGGTCCTCATGAGCCGCCAAAAATCAAAGTGTGTGTGGGTGTAATAACACCGCCTAATAGGGAGCGCCGTAATTGGGAATAGCAACTTCATTACAGAGTGACAGCAGCAGGTGATAAGAATACAGGAAACGCCGTAGCCACTGATGCTAGCAAGCTCATTAGCCGCCGCCGCCGCCGCCCCTCTCTTAATTATTGGAGAGTGTTGTCGCACTGTTCAGTGCCTCCTTCCTTTGTCTCTCTCTTCCTCTCTCTCACTCCTTCTCTTTCTTTCTCTTTGCTCCCTCCCGCGTCGCTCTCTCGCCCCCTCTCTATTTTTGTCTCCTTGGCTTGTACCAAGGAGGACATTTTTAAGTGGTAGCAGTGGTGGCTAGCGTTAGCATCGCTGGGCGGTTATTAGGTGGGTGGACGTGCCCAGGGAGCACAATGTCCCGGAAACAGGAGAGATGTAATTGTGTGGGTCAAG